ATTAAGCAACGAAATAGCAAGCGGATACAAGAAAGATTTTCCTCCAACACAATGCCCTCCACATCGAGTTTAAGTGTTTCTTATGACAAAGTATAAGCTACCACAAAGCCAAACAAGACCAAAAAACATACAAAGAAAATGAAACCAAACAATCCCCTATTCCACTCCAGCCATAGCCTTAGTCCGACAGTGGGCTTGATAGAGAGACTACATGGACCATATCTGAGTAGGGGATACTGACGTCAGTAGAAGCCCGGCGAAAAGATTCCAATCGATCTTCCAAAGTCCACGACCGAAACACTCACTTCCCCAAACATATCCCACACACACCCTGAAGCATGAAGCCCAAACTGTGAACCAAAAGTCTGGTCAGCGACTGATTCAAACCGACAATCAAATCGGCGAACGGGACGGGCAGAACCTTCACCAATACAAAACCTCTACAAACACCTCTACAAACACGAAGTCAAGAGGACAAACTAGGTCTACAAAAAACCTAGAAACAACCTTACCTTTGCAAGCGAAGGAAGGACGGGGAAGGACGAGCCTTCTAAGTTATCTTTCTAACTTGCCAATGCAAATATTGCAGTTCTTCCAATTAATTTTAAAGTGGAATTGCAAGTAAAAAGTGAGACCTTAAAAAGTACATATTCTTTAAGACCCAGAAGTATCTAACTATATGATGCGTGCAAGAATGTGTAAGAATATAAAATCTGCTTTTAATGAAAATGTTTATAGTAGAATAAAAAATTGTTTACGATCCAAATAGAGAGTTTAACGAAAAGGCGTAAATCTATTTGAAGAAATAAATTTGACCGGTTTTTAAAATTGTTTATAGTGCCGTCATGTTATTTATTTATTTATTTTCTACTTATAGACTGGTTAAATATCATTTTAAAGGTTACTATTTTTATTTATTTTTTATCCACTACTTATTATTTACAACAACTTTATCAAACATAATGGTAAAGGCCCCTCAAGGTACATCCGAGTTGGTGGAACAATTGCATTTATGGGCTCGCAACCCCAGCATGGAGAGTCCGATTCCGGAAGGCATGAATCTTGGAAGGGGGATTTTCTCGAAGAGGAGGCAATGACTGGAACGCAGTGAGTAGAGCTCTCTGGGATCAGGAGTATAAGCGGTACAGGAACCTGGGAGCCAACAAGGGCATAACCTGCGATTTACCTCATCGAGTCATTAAGGAGCCGGTAGCTAGAGGCCCAGGATTTAGTTTGATTAAACTGAGATACCTGGATATAAAAAAAAAAAAAAAACAACACTGGTCAAGAAGTATGTGATTTGGGTCAACGTGGAAGAATGGACCTATGAGTAGGGAATCTTAGGGTAGGACAAAAGAGAATTTAATGTTAATGTCTTATTAGGTTCGTAAAAAGGGACAAAAGTAGAGTTGTAGAATTCCACCATTTATATCTTTTGAATATCACCTTTTATTTCTTGCAGACCCAACTATAAATATGTTAAGAGAAAGAATTGCAGTCAGTACTACAAAGCATGTAAACAG